AAAAACTCTGCACAAATATTTCTTTTTCCATCAAAAAAGAATTCTAATCTGCTCAGACTTGTGCCACTCAGATTATTACACATTATTAAAAATTAATTTAGAAAAAAAGGTCTAGTCTTTGAAATCTCATGAGAAGATGATTTGACAAAAACACTTCCCTTATCTGATATCGTAATATCCAAAATATATTTTTAATACCTTCCCTTTTAATTTGTTTTTGTTGCCTCCTATGAAAAGCATTGCTCACCTCAGTGACTAGGACACAGTTATCATGTATACCTTAATTTACAGCATTTAAATCAACAACAAATGAATAACAACAATGAGAACAATGAAGAAAAGAGTGTTACTTGCTGAATAAGAGTGATCTAAAACAGCGGTCACCAACTGGTGGTCCGTGGACCACTAGTGATCTGTGAGAAAATTTTGGTGGCCCACAGAAAAATTATTTGCATTTTTTATATTGCACTAAATCAGGGGTTCTCAAACTACGGCCCCTAGGACAGATACGTGCAATGAACGTTTCTGTTGCTGCAGAGTCTCCCCCTTAGGGGTCTTTTTGTGTGGGTCGGAGGGGGAGGAAATTCTGACTTGGGGTCTGCTTCAGCCTCCTGGTGTGGGGCTTTGGGCAAAGGCTGGAGGGAAGTGCTGCTGGTGGCAAAGAGCCGGAGGGCCTTGTTCCAGTGGGACTGCATCATGGCCTGGAACTGGATGACCATCTCAGCCCGCTGTGCCTCCAGGTGCCTATACTTGGCCTTGCACTCCTGCAGGTCTTCCCTCTGCTTGAAAAGCCTATGCTCATAGTCCTCAGTGAGGTGCTTCTGCTGAGCCTCCTTTTCGGTCAGATCCAATTTGAACTGAGCCAGCTGTTTTGCCAACTCTTTCTTGTGGTGGCTGCTTAGCTCCAACAGCCTCTTCCTATTGGGGCCCTAAGGAGCCCAGGCAGACAGGCGAGGAATGGCTGGGAGGGGAGGGGTGAGTAGAAGCTGGCGAGATGCTCCTTGATGTGAGTGACATTGAGTTGGTCACACCCACCCAGTCACATGACCACCTAGGCACACCCACCCAGCCGGTCATTAGGCAGATCATATTAATGGGATTTAAAATTATGAATTTAATGGTCCATGAGGTCCGAAAGGTTGGTGACCCCTGATCTAAAAGGTAACATCTTGCCAGAAATCAAGATATCCAGATTGCCAGATATCTATCTTGTTCATCTATCTAAAAAAGCCTGTTGAGAATCCCACTGTTTTGGGAAGGTACATGAATTGTGAGTTAGTGTGAAGGCTCCTGTATAGTAACCTCCAGTCTCTGGAAGAGCCTTCCCCTATAGATGCCAAGGGAACGGCCTTGAAAGACAGGGAGAAAAGCCATTACAAAGACAATCATCAAATCAGTGCAGGTTATGCCCATTCCAGAAAACTAATTTGAGTAAATGTATTAGACAGATCCCTCCCTAATTCACACAAAAATAAAGAAGAGATGGGGGAGGGAGGAAGCACATTCAGACTTACAAGATTCTGTTACTCTAGCTGTTACAATAAAAGTACTTTTAGACCTACGTGGCATTTATTTCTTAGTCTGGTCTACCTTATAGGGCTGACATCCTTGGGAGATATGTGTGCTCCCAGCCCTTCTTGCATTTTGCAAACAAGTAGTATCTATACTATTCCAATTTACCTGTGATCTTTTTGAGTGTAGGTGCTCAAAAGGAAATTTTTGATAGTTGCTTTTAGTGGTCTTAAATTTTGCTTTTATAATTTTTTTGTCTTTTGTTTGCAGTTCAAAGTCTGATAAGGATTAGGGCAAATATATTGTTAAACAATAAATAAATTAAAAAAAAACCCTTTTTATCAAATTTAGCATTAAAGTCAAGAAAAAGTTTCCTATAAGGCCACTTTCTACTGATTGAATATGCTCATTTGACAGTATAGAACAGAGGGCATGTTACACCTCCCTTTTCCAATGAAATGCCACTTTCAGGGACCCTATGGTTGAGTCTTTCTACCAATGTCTGATGCCTCCTTTTCTCTGAAACTGCTAGTCCCTGGTCCTCTGCATTGTTCCACCCTATTGGGTTTCCAATGGACCATAAAATCATGAGTCTTTAGGAGAATTTTAGGTATGTAGATGTTTAGACTTTCCTGTTTTGAATGGGTCATCCATGTTATTATTGTCTGGTTGACAAGATTCTAACCCTAATCCTAGTCCTAACTCTAGCCCTAATGCCTACAATGATTTGGTCCTACCTACTACAACACTTGGCTCTTTTCTTGTAACCTGAAGTGCATCCCCCCCAAAACTTAAATTTCTTTTCTTAAGATAATTAGTTAGCCTGCTTCTTATGTCTGACTGTTACAGTCGTTATCATCTATTTATGCTGCAGAGAAAGTTTGGAAAATGTTCTCAAAACTATAACTTGGGGCCAGATTGGAGAAGTCTGATAAATGCATGCAACCCACAGATACAAAACCAATGCATATCCAAAAGCAACAAAGAAATATTATCAAAACATGGGAAAATATGCATTTGAAACATGAATAGTTTATATAGACAAGTAGGTGAGACAAAAATCTAATAATAAATACATGTAATAGTTGATTCCCAGATTGATAAACTTTCATGTTATCAGTGAAAGATATGCTTCCTTGCTTGTTCATTGCTGACTGAAAGAGAATCAGAAAGCCTCTACCTCAAAGTATGCAAAGATACTGTATATTGGTTGTAAATTGAAAATAGTTTATGATATTTGTGTAGCCCCATCCTATTTATCTGATAACTCTGGGAGATCTAGGCTGCAGAATTCCAGGTGGCTACTAGAGGTCAGCAAAGAGCCACAGTTAACTGTTTTAACTTTTTCCTGTCCTTTACCAGTTGTCAGAGTTATTGCAGCCCAGATATTGGTATTCTTATTGGAGGAGTTAAGCAAGTTGGCTTGGAGTGTACATTTCCAGAGCCAAGACGATAAACCTACTCCTATGTATCTCTTCTCAAATGTAAGCACTGATAAACTAAGCAGAAGTTAGTTTCATGATTTCTGTAAAATTTTGCAGTGGAAAATGACATGTTTAGTTTCATTTTCGGTTGGACATAAACAATGATCACATATAGAAAAATTAGCATAGGAAAGGTTAATTAGCAATGTCATAGAACGAGTCATGCAGTTATCATTTTTTCTGTGCTTTCCTCCCAGTTGTTTCTCACAAGATTTGGGTTAATGCCCTGGTTGATGCTGCACTGTGATTTATCTTACATTTACGCATCACTGAGATCTGGTAAAAATGAGGCGGCACACAACAGGATGACATCACATCAGACCTTCTGCTGAATTGACATTGTGAAGGAGACTATGAGTGTGTAGAATGACAACTGCTCCTCATTGTTTGTAATTCCAATGTCCTGCTGGGAGTGATGGCGGTTTCAAAGTTAATTCTCAGCATGGAAAAACCAAAAGCAAGGAAACAATTTGAAAACTAGGTTGTTGTTTTTTTTAAAAAAAATCAGCACAAAGGCCATCAACCAGCACTGGCTGCAGTAAATAAATAAAACCATTCCTGACTTTTACTGTTATATAGAGTAATTATAATTCACACATCCAGATCTTTTGTACCAGTGAAAGCTTCGTTTGTGGTTTGCATGAGCAGATACATTAACTCTTGTAAACTCTTTTCATTAGAACATGATTACTCATTGAGGACCGATCAATATATCATCTATACAACATCTTGAAAGTGGATGTCTGGTCTCATTGTGGGCTTGCTGATAATGACTTCTTTATTCAAGGCAGCTTGTATGAACAAGGAGATAAAGAAAAGAGAGGAAAATTATAGCATATGCTCAGGGAAGTATTATAAAGGAAATAAACAAAAAGTAATAGTAGACTTACAGAGTTCAAAAAAGACAATTACAGGAAAAGAACAGAGGACAAGGAGGTAAAATATATATAAAAAGAGGTTTCTGGCCATTTCCAAGACCTCTGTAATGTTCAGCAAGCCATGCTTAAAGAAATCTCCTTTTGAAAGAGGTCATTTCCCAGTGGGGTTCATAACCCTTTTGATTTTAGCATTAAAAATTATGCCCATAGTCTTCAAAGGACACAAAATGACCTCCACAGCTGCTCCTCTTTCCCTCCCTGCCCCCCCTGAAAGAACATACTCATTTCTATTCTTGATTTATCCCACTTTCATTACCTTTACCTCTTTATGAAGCTATGGGAAAATCACTTCATTCCATCATTTATCTAGTTCAGTCCTTGGAAACAGAACTAGACACATCTTGTAAGAGTCTTTTCGAAGCCTAGATTACTTGATAATGCTAAGAACTAAATTTGAGACATTCGCACAAAAAATATGCACTCTAGTCTCTAAGCTATAGAATATATCATGATCCTTGTTGGAGCAAGGATGGAGTTGTTGGCCACCTAATAATAGGGAACTCAGAAGTAGAGGTGAGCACAATAGTATCTTCTGGTTCATGTTATTCTGGAACTTGTATTGAGAAGTACCAATCCTCCAATAGATTAAATAAATAAATAAATAAATCTCCCTTTCCAGAGAGTATGGAATAGAGTTTGCCTTGGGGGCAAATAATAAAGTAGTGCTAAGGGTAAGAGAGTTGGCCCTTCTTAGGAAAGGAGGGCAGTTTGGTGGGTTTTCAGGTTACAGTCTAACCAATGAAGTTGTAGGACATGGCCAGCTTGAGCCCAAGGGAAGGGTCAAGTGTGTCATCCAACTCAAATCTCTTTGTGCCTACAAGACATCTAAGCCCAGCCCTGAATTGAATTCTGTTGACTCTTAACTACTGCCAATTTGCCTTGACTATTAGTGGTTCAGATTCTTACAGCGAGTGCTAGCATGCAATAAACTTGTATTCATTTGAACCATTTTGATTCTTGATTTCCTGCGCTTGATAGAAGTCTAAAAAGCCCCTAGTGGTTCATCTTCCAACTTAAAGGACCTGGTTTTTAAAGCCAGGTCAGATGCTCATAAAACATTTATTACCTTGAATTTATCCTTGTGGAAAATGTTGACTTGGCATATATTGCAAACACCTTGCTCAGAGGGAGCATGCATTCTGCCCTTCCATGCTCTGTCCACCAGAATTCCTGTGATGCAGTAGCCTAATAATGAAGAGAGGGACTTGGTATTTATTTATAAGAATTCATCTTACTAACTGGAAGCTCCATTCAACAGTCTGACAATTTTGAAGGTCTTCTGCTGATTATGGAGGGTTGGGACAGTATAGGGATATATCTTGTAGGTTGGAGAAACTATTGAAATCCTAATGCCCCCTTTCTTCTAACTCTAAATCCATGGTTAGTATCCCTAAATGTGTCTACTATTAATAATTGATTAGATAAGGAAGAATACACTGAAATTAAATCCAGATAAGGCAGAAAGACTGTTAACAATGAAACAAAAGGATTCTGGGACTGAGCTGAAGCTTGTTCTGGATTTGGTTCCACTATCCCAGAAAGAGCCAATTTGCAGTTTGGCAATCTTCTTGACCCCAGTTCTCACAGTCTTTGTAGGTGGCAGCTATAACTAGGAGATTATTTATAGAATTACAGATAAGGCATTAATTGCAACACTTCCTAGGCTGCTCAGCTTAACAACAGTCTTATTTTTAGTTCATCTCAGCTACTATGGTGTGCTTTATGTGGACTACATTGAAAAATAACTGGACATTCCAAATTACTAGCACTGAGGATGTTACCTAGTTTGGGTAATGAAAAATCTGCAAGATAAGAACCAAGCTCAGAGAGCACCAAGGTCCCCTCAAATTCCAAATTGTACAAAACTGTAGCAGAGGCTGCCTGGGGCAAAGTTCATGATGCCTGAACTGAAGGATCAGCAAAGACTAATGGTTGCCCCCTGGGCATGACTGAAGGTGCCTTGTGTTCATTTTTAAAACTGGTAGGACCTGATTATCTGCACAACTACCTCTCCCACTCTTAACAGGTCCAGTTATTTATATTGGCAGGAAAGTATCTTCTGAAGAAGATGTCCATTTGCCAGAAGCTTGACTGTTGGGTACTTAGGAAAGGGGTTAAGGAAGTGTGCGTAACTTCCAATCTCCCAGTATTTGGGAAAATAGAAAAAAGAATGCTGTATGTCTCTTTCAGCAACCTTTTCAGTGTTAATTATTTCAGTTGATGATTTTGATTTGACTTGTATTCATATCTTTAATCTTATGCTTTGCCTTTTTTTGTCATAAGCAGCTTTGAGGACCTTAATGATTGATTAAACAGAAATTCAGTAACAAAAATAAATGTAAATGTTGACTATTAATATGTGTTTAACTTATTCTATGCCTCAATCAACTGGAATCTCAGAGGTTTACTTCTACATATATAATAACATTCAGTGAAACATCTATAATGGAAAACAGGGAAAATAATTTTAAATTAAATAGAAAAATGCATAAATCAATAACTTCTCCAGAGCAGTAATCTCACTCACCAGAGGATCTCTGGGACAGTTTGGTTTTTCAGAAGGTCAGAAGTAGGAAGTGTAAAAGTAAGACTCAGATCTACAGCCTAGGCAGTGTTTCTCAAGTTGGCAAATTTAAAATGCCTGGACTTCAACTGTCAGAATTCTTCAGGCATGCTGGCTTGGGAATTTTGGGAGTTGAAATCCACACATCTTGAATTTGCCAGGGTTGGAAACAGAGGCCTAGACAGCCACTGAAAAGTAGTGATTCTATGGCTCACTCCTCCTCACTTTGCAATAGTAAAGTTCCCTAAGTAATTTCTCCTGGCACTAACAGATTGGGGTGACTTGATTTTGACTGGAGAAGAAGGTCTTGGAAGTTTCAGCCATATAGATCTTTAGGGCTTAAAACAACCACTAATGTAAAGTGCTTGTGTTGATAAGCATCTGCTAGCAATTCAGCCACTGCATTCTGGACTAACTGAACCTTTCAGCTGGTCTTCAGAGTCAATCACTTGGTGACTGTATAGCAGCAATCCAAGTATGTAGTACTGAAAATAAGAATTACTATTGTAACATCCTCTCATTCCTGGTAGGACAGCAACTGACCCTCCGTCTACTCAGATATCAATAGTCAGAAAAACTTTCAAATTGCAGATCTTTTTCTTCAGGGATAATGCCATCTCATCAAAAGACAATACCAGAAACACGAGAGTACTGTTATGTACAAACAGCAACTTGATCTTGCTGGGACTCAACTGTTTCATTCTATTCAGTCTTAACAGCCTCCAGATACTAGTTTAAGGCATTAATGGCATCTCTTAACAGCCAGAGTAGTGATGATGCCATATTCTATTCTATTCTATTCTATTCTATTCTATTCTATTCTATTCTATTCTATTCTATTCTATTCCATTCCATTCCATTCCATTCCATTCCATTCCATTCCAATCTTATCCTATCCTATCCTATCCTATCCTATCCTATCCTATCCTATCCTATCCTATCCTATCCTATCCTATCCTATCCTATCCTATCCTATCCCCAAGTTACTACCAATTCTTAGCATTAGTAGCAGCTGAGGTGCCCTTACGATCCAGCTCTTTTGTTAAAATGGCAAAAGAAGTGTTGTACCATTCTAATACACCTCTTTTTCATATGTGTGAAATGTCATGATGCATGTAGAAAAGGGGTGGAGCTTGCATTGTATCAGGGCAAAACTGCTTTCATCTTTGACTTTCCCTTGCTCTGTGGCTATCTCTGAGAAGTTGCTGGGCTCTTCGTCCTGCCTGAAATCAGAAACAACAATTGTTTGTCAGGGAGGCAGGAGTGGGCCCTTGAGTTCCTTCCTTCTTCCAAGCCCTCAAGCACTGTCATTCTTATTTTTTAAAACAGGCCCGTGTGCCTGCAATCCAATTTCTAGCAGCTGGATTGGAAGGGAAACTTCAAATATAATTCCAGTGTGTGTAAACAAACTGGCATCCAGTTAAATTTACACATACAGAAACTAAGGGTAGTAGTTGGATGGTGTTGCAAGATTAAAATGATGTGTGTTTAGTCTTCCTAAATTTTAATTTTAAAATTTAAAATATTTTGAAATTTAAAATAAATTTAATTGATTTTGAATTTTTTTATTCAGCAAAGATCTGTTAAACGAATACATTTTGGTTTCCTATCAGCAAGCTGCTGTAAAAATGGCTTATTTATACATTTTAATAACCTGGCACATTCATGTATGTTCCACAAGCTCTGGGTGTCCTTCTTCCTTCTCGTTTTGCCTTTCTCACTTTGTCTCCTGTGCAAGTGGACTGAAAATGCAGCATTTATTTTGATGATCAAAATGTGTTGGTCCCACACATGCAGAAGTTGCTATTGTCATCCTTGATAGTCAGCCAAAGCATCCATAGTTTTTTCATTATTTATATTAATATTAATTCTGAACCCAATGTACCTATCGTATTTTGACATCTGTTAGTGGTGAGATACAGTACAGGTAATACAGTGTTGTGGCCGCCAGCTGCCAGTGGAGCTGGTGGCAGACACGGACAATGAGGAGGTTGGAGAGGAACTTGGGCCAGCTCTGGAGTCTGGGGAAGACTCTGATGGATGCTCTGCGTCGGATGCAGAGATAGAGCCAGGGCTGTCTGACATTTCCCAGCCACTGCCTTTAGAGGCTGAGATAAGTGGGAAGGAAGAACAGCTGGGGCCTGTTCCAAATGCGTGTATGTGCAGAGCTGTTAGGAGATTAGAACAACTGAGGACAAAGAGTTGACTCGGGAAGCAAGGCACACATGGACGCTGAATGGCCCCTCCCTGGCTGGAGAATAAATAGAAGGAAAGGGGAGTGGTGGTCGTAGGTGACAACAGTTCATAGTTCTGAAGATTTTAGCTCATTGCATTTTGTGTCACAAAGACTACTTGCCAGAACTTACTTTGCAGCCTTTCATCTGGGAGCTCATGGCCTTGAAACTATTGCAAGGAACTGATAAGATCTGTATTGCAGTTAACTCCTTGAAGGACTAATGCCTGGACTTTTCAGTGGGTGAATGCAATTAATTCACAAGAGGAAAATAAAGAGGGTTTTTTCGTGACAAGGAGTCTGTTTCTTGTTTCTGCTAAGGCTGGGTCAGAACATACAGGTAGTCCTTGAGTTATGACGAGACTCAGTTCCAAATTTCCAATGGCGCCTCCACTCCTCCTCACTTGTAGTCACAGGACTGTATTTTGGCAGTTAGCAACTGGCCTGCATTTATTTGTACAGTACATTATTTGTAGTGTCCTGTAGTCACGTGACTTATGTTTTTTGCCTAAAACTGGCATTCATTTTATTTTTTGGCAAATAAAACAATGGATTCATTTAATAACTGCAATGTTTTTTTTAATGATCACAGCATTCTGTTAACAACCACAGCATTTGCTTAACAACCACTGTAAACAGGTCATAAAACCCAAGTTGTGTCGACCCGCTTTACACCTGTCATGACTTATGACCATAATTGGTAGGTTCTATCACAGTTGTAAGTTGTGAACTATCTGTAGTATTATTATTATCAGGTTTGGAAACTCCTCTTGTTTTCCAAAGCAATGACCCAAACAAATAAATAGGACGCTCTTCTCAAAAATACTAGGACCAGATCTCTGGAGATCCTGGATTAGGTGCTTTCAATCTCTTGGCCACCTCCTTAAGATTCCTCCACATGCCACTTCTTTCCTTGTTATGAATTCCATGCAGAAAAAACTACACTTATTTCACTTACACCTTCTCCTTTCATTCTTCACAGCTCTTCATAATTTTTTATGAGACCACTTCAAGGACCTGCACAGCAAAGTATTAGGACCTGCCCTTTGAATTTTCCCAGAATGCTTCTAGGCACCACCCTATTTTGAAGGCCAAGAAGTGGTTGAAGGCAACAACATTTGTTGATATTGGTTGCAAAGTAGGAGATTATTAACTCTGAAATTTTATCTCTTACTAATGTCAATGGGATTTAAAAGTACTTATTTTGTTCCAGATTCATTTATTGTTGTCAATGATTATTATTAGTATTAGGTATTTTGCTACAGTCAATTGTCTTGTACAAATTAAATGAACACAGAAAACACAGATTAAAAAGTCCAAAGCACATTTCTTTTAAAGAAATAATGGGAGCAGAAGACTAAAAAATACAACTAGATATTTCTTGGAAATAATATTGCTCAACAGTCATAATGCATTCTTAGTCACAGCTATCAGAGGGAAATGATAGAAATGCAAAGACGCACACACAGGCAATTCAAGCAAAAGTTTACGACTAAGGAAAACTAGAAAGGAAAATGATTAGCTGACAAAGGCTTTAGAAAATCATGACATGTGAAACCGAGGCTAATTAGCCCTAGAATGCACATCTGGTTTGAGAAGAATAATGCTGTGTTATAGTATGTTCAGCGGAATAGTCCGGAAACTGATCCAAAATATAAGAATAAAGCAGAAATCATTTTGCCTAGGTGAAAGGATTATGGCACATTAGATGCATGTGCCATGTATTTTTTTTTTACTTCAGAATAACCTTCTCTCTATCTTCCCGCCTAAATCAACCTTTAATCTAAGACACAGATATTTGTGTCTTATACATTTACCTAGTATATTATTACAAAACATGAATCTTTAAATAGGCTAGTAAGATATTAAAATATATGCATTTTTATTATAATTTTACCTGACACTTTTCAGAAGGTTTCCCGTATTAGTCTGCTGATAACTGTCATCCTAGGAAGACTGAGCCTTGTACTTTATTAGATGCATGAAGGGTTATTCCCAGTTTATTTATAGCATTCTACTATATGCAAAGGAAGGAAATGTTTATAAACTGCTGCATACACAATAAAAAATTAAAAAAAATATGGATTAAAGGCACTAAAAATGCAAGGGCTATCTCATTTCTATATGTATACAAAAAGAAACCTTAGTCAATGCTGTCTAACTTGTATGCTAATAGCAGAAATGAACAATTCCTCTAGTATGAAAAATGTCCTCATTCTTACTTTTAGCTTGAATTTGATAGATGCAATCAAATACATTATTAAATCAGCATTTAGGGATAATCAGGGATTTGTTTAGCCAGCAGACTTGATCAACCTCTTGGGTTGCAGGCAATGTGCAGACTGATGCTTCAGGTTTTATATTAAGAATGTTAAGAGAATGTTAATCTCAAAAACGTACCAAAATATACCTTTAAATATGTATTTGGCAATCAAATATGCTTATCAATCTATTTAGAGAGAAAAAATAAATAAGGAAATAAGTTCAATTTTAAATACTTAAATTTAAATTTTAGCTAGCAACCCATGTGAACAATGGATTGATGAATGAAACTCATACAGGCTAAAAATAGGCTGCTTTGACTGTTCCTCTCAGGTGTTACTCTAGAACTTTCTTTTGAAGCCCTTTGGTTGAAATATGGTGACTTTAAGATCAAAGCTTCTTAAATATTCCCCCATACTTTGGTACAAGGTTTTCTATTGAATCCATAGTTTTAGCCAGCAAAATTTATAAGTTTGCCGTGAGTACACAGCAGAAAAGAACTCTTAGAATGTGATTTCATCAATGGTATCGAAAAATGAATATCTGCTATTGCTGGTTATTAGGAAAAACAATCTTTGGAACATGTGTATAAGGAAGGAATCAGGTGAAATAATTGGAATAATGTTGGAAATGATGCAAAAAAAAAAAATCCAGTCTGTTTCTAAGGCAACTCCCAATAATAATGTTTTTAAATAACCAATTCATTAACGTATTAGAAAATAATTCTCAATTCACCTCTTGGTGAGATGAGTGGCGAACAAGTCTAATAAATAAAATAAAATAAAATAATCCCCCTCAAAGGCACCTATCACAATAGC